CGTCGTGGGCGCAGGCGGCGGCGGATGCCAGGGCTCGCGCCGATGGGTAGGCCAGAGCCGCGGAGGCGCGCCGAGCGTCGCTTCCCATTGCCGACGCGGGGAAGCATATCAAGGAGATGGGCGCGATCTCGGCGTCGCGCACCGCGGGCGCGTTCGACGGCTTTGCTCTGGCGGGAACGGCAGTCGGCAGAACCGACCCCGCAGTAGCTCGAGGAGCTACGCATGCAGCATGGCACCCCTGCCGTCTACGAGATGGGCGAGGATGTCCCGATGGCAAAGATCACTAACTGCAGCGAGGAGGCCAAGGTGAAGTTAGTGCTGGCCTGCAGCAGCCGCCTCAATAGTGCGCCGGCGCTGGCGTCGCGGGTCCATGTCGGAGCCGACTACTTGCAGGGGGCCGCCCCCATGGGCCACGCGGAGAGGCTGGCCCGCGCGGGGATGCAGGACCTCGAGAGCATGGTGGCAGGGTAGGAGAGACACCCGTCGAAGAGAAACATAGACGTGAGCAGTTAGTGAGGAGCCTGGGCCGAGCTGCCTGCGAGCCTATCCTCGAGACCCTATGCACTCACTCCTCTTGCGCCACCGTCCCCCAGGCCCGCTCTCGCCTCTCCCCCCGGCAGCAGAGCTAGCCAAACTGCCCGAGGTTTTTTTTGTCCCACTCCCTCCGGGCCCAGTCGAGACTTCCGCATCGCCCCCTCGCTTTATCAGAGCTACCGCTCGCGCCTGGCGCTGCGTGGAGCCAGGCCGCGGGGGGGGGCGCCGGGCCCCGCGGTCCCGCGAGCGAAGGTCTGGCGGATCGGCACTGAGGATCACATTATGCGAGTAGTTGAAAGAAAGAGCGCGTTCTGTGGGCGCTTCGAGAGGGGGGGCGTTTGGAACCGGACCCCCCCCCTGGCTTGAAGGGGAAAAGGGGTTCGGCCCCCCCCCCGGGGGTTCGAACTCCCCCCCCCCCTCTCTGCTCCCCCTCTCCTCGGGCCAGCGCCGGCGTCGGCGGCGGCCGGCGGCGGCGACTGTGACGCGTCGATGAAGACGTTTTCGTTTTCTGGGCCGGCGCCTGCGGCGGCTTGCGGCGGCGACGGCGGGGGGCGTCGAAGAGGGCGACGGCGACGACGATGACGACGACGGCGACGACGCACCGCCACCATGCCTTGGCTTTGGATCAAGAGTCCTGATGGATGCCTTCTGGGTTCTCGTCGGAGGGCTTTCGGGGGCATTTGAAGGGCATTTGTGAAGCCTCCTTGGCGACCCTTTGGCGTCTCTTGGGGCCTCTTGAGGTGGTGGTGGTGGTGGTGGGTTGTGGTGGTGGTGGTGGTTGTGGCGGTGGTGGTGGTGTGGTGGTGGTGGTGGTGTGATGGTTGGTAGTGGTGGTGGTGGTTATTGTGGTGGTTGCGGTGGCAGGCTGTGGTGGTGGTTGTGGCGGTGGTGGTGGGTTGTGGTGGTGGTGGTGTGGTGGTTTTTGGTGGTGGTGGTGCTCGTTGTGGTGGAGGCTGTGGTGGTGGTATTGGTTGTGGTGGTGGTGGGTTGTGGTGGTGGTGGTGGTGGGGCGGTGATTGTTGTGGTGATGGTGGTGTGGTGGTGGTGGTGGTGTGGTGGTGGTGGTTGTGGTGGTGGGTGGTGGGGTTGGTGGTGGTGGTGGTCATGTGGTGGTTTGTGGTGGTGGTGGTGGTGGTACGTTGTGGTGGTGGTGGTGGTGGTGGCGGGGATGGTGGTGGTGGTGATGTGGTGGTTTGTGGTCGTGGTGGAGGTGGCGGCGGTGGTGGTGGTGTTTTTTTGAGGTGGTGGTGGTGGTGATGGCGGTGGTGGTGGCGTGGTGGTTTGTGATGGTGGTGCTGGCGGTGGTAGGTTGCTCTGGTGGTGAAGTGTTGGTTGTGGCGGTGGTGGTGGTGGTGCTGGTGTGGTGGTTTGCGGTGGTGGTGGTGGTTCTGTGGTGGTTTGTGGTGGTGGTGTGGTTGTTTGTGGTGGTGGCGGTGGTGGTTTCTGCTGCTGGTGGGTCGTGGCGGTGGTTGTGGCGGTGGTGGTGGTGGTGGCGTGGTAGATTGTGGTGGTGGTGGTTGTGGTAGTTGTGGTGGTGGTTGTTGTGGTGGTGGTGGGTTTTTGCGGTTGTGGTGTTGTGGTGGGTGTGGTGGTAGTGGTGGCTGTGGTGGTGGTGTGGTGGTTTGTGGTTGTGGTGGTGGTGGCGTGGTGGTTTGCCGTGGTGGTGGCGGTGATGGTGATGGTGGTGGGCCGTGGTGTTGGTGGTGGTTGTGTTGCTGCTGCTGGTGGTGGTGCTGGTGGTGGTTGTGGGTGGTAGGTGGGTGGTTGTGGCGGTCATGGTGCTGGTGGTGGTGTGGTTGCTTGTGGTGGTGGTTGTGGTGGTGGTTGTTGTGGGTTGTGGTGGTTCGTGGTGGTGGTGGCGTTTTTGGTGGTGGTGGTGTAGTGGTTTGTGGTGATGGTGGTCCTTGTGGTGGTGGTGGGTTTGGGTGGGTTGTTGTGGTTGTGGTGGTGATGGTGGTAGTGGTGTGACCTTCTGGTCTTTCCGTCACCGTGTTTTGGCTTTGGGTCAAAATTCTAATGGATGCCTCTAGAGGTCTCCTCGGGGGGGGTTCGGGGGCGTCTGGGGAGCATTTGCGAAGCCTCCTGGGCCTTCCTAAGGGCCTCTCGGTGGCTTTCTGGGGGCGAGGGCTCGATCTAGCAGTTTGTGTTTCCCCTGTGCGGCCACTTGGCTCTCCCTGGCCATCGCTGCCGCGCCCCCGCCGTCGGCGCTGCTGGCCGCTGGCCGCCGCCAGCGCGGGGGCTGGCGCTGGCGCCGGCGGGGGGGGGTGCTTGGGCCCCCCCGTCACATCCCTGAGCCCTCTCTGGTCATCGTTGCTGCGTCCCCGCCGTCGGCGCTGCTGGCCGCCCGCCGCCAGCGCCGGCGCTGGCGCCGGGGGGGGTGGGGGGGGGAGGTTTGGACCCCCCCCGCGGGGGGGGTGGGGAGGGGGGGGTTGGGGGACTGAGATTATTTGGTGCGCAGTAAGTAGCAGCAGTGTTCAGACAAGAGGTTTGATCATGTGTAGTATCTGTTCGACCGTAATACATCAGGGCTCAGGGTTTGCGCACTTAGAAACGAACAAACATTTCAGTTTGGTAGCGGAGCTGGCACGCGATAGCGGCGCCCGCGCGCCGCCATGCACGCGACTTCGTCTCGGCGAAGTACAACGAGCAGGTGCTGGAGTTCCCGCGTGAGCGGAACGCGTGCGGCATCACGAAGCGTTTCATCCACGTGCTGACCTTCATCCAGCTCCTCTTTGTCGGCGTCAGGCTTGACGCTCGCGACGCCCATTTCCCCTTCTCCGAGACAGCAATCATGGCGGCAGGAGGCGCAGACTGGAAGCTCCCGACTACGTTGCCAGAGTTCACCAGATATGCACCACCCGGCTGGAAGCCTGGTCTGCCCGACTACAGTTTCGACCAGTTCTTAGAGCGCCTTCATCTGTGGTGGCGCATCACTCCAGTGTTGGAAGAAGAGGTTGGCCCGATGATAGCCAGTCGACTCTTGGATCAAGCGTTTGATGTGGCCACGAGGATGAAAGTAGCACGCAATGGGCAAGGATATCTAGGAGACGCGGCTCTCGCCCTCGGCAAGCAAGACCAGCAGGTCGACGGCGTCGGTGCCGTGATTATAGAGGCCGACCCGTCAGGCGTGGCTCATCTCATCCGACGATTGAAAGACGCGTTCGAGATTCACGATCAAGATCGGCAGGGCGAATACTTGGACGCATTCTGGGACGCGCGCCGATGATCCACCAGCCTTCAGGACTACCTCCTGAAGTTCAAGCAGAGGTACCAGGAGGCGGAGAGCAAGGCCGGCCTCTCGCTCAACACGGTCGGCCCCGCGCACCTCCTATTCAAGTGGAGCGGGCTTCCAGCCCGCAGGATTGCGATCTCAACCGATTCAATGATATAGACCGCATGATAAGCCGGATAACCAAGCAAGAAATGACAACATGATCACACCATCACGGACATTATGGATATTACGGGACATCTGAAGACACGGATCTGAACAGCGACGACTGCAATTTGACCTGTCACCAGGGCCAGGACGAGGACAACGATTACACAGACTTCGTATTCGATGAAGACACGGACCCACATTACAGAGAATATGCGACGGAAAATGGTGAATGGACATACTGCGCATACGACAGTTTCTGGAGTTGGCATGGTAGTTCTGAGATCGAGACTTACCTCGACGAATTGGACTTGGAAGAAGCATATCAGATGAGCGGCTTTCGACCCAAGTGGAGATTCAGCAGCAGACGCAAAGGCAAGGGCAAAGACGTCTCCGCAGCAAGGGTCGAGGTCGGGGTAGCAAAGGACGAGGACGAGAACGCAAAGGCAAAGGACGGGGCGACGGACGATGCACGGCAGAGGCTAACCACGGCGGCAAGAACTACGGCGGGAAGATCTACGGCGGCGGCAAGACCAATAACAAAGGAGATGGCAAGGGCTGCAGCATCTGCGGCTCCAAGTGGCATCGCGATCGCGACTGTCCAGCAAAGCAGCGAGGACAGAAGGGCGATGGCGGCAAGTCCTCCAGCAGTGGCTTCGCGCTGCACCACCACAGTGCACATCGCGCTGAGAATGCGCCTGGAGTTTCCCTTGCAGTAGGACATCTTGATCGACATGCATCTACGTGGTTTCAGACAGAAGCTCCAGAACGAACACCGCCGTGGAACAACAACGCCATCTCAGATGACAGCCCCTCAGTTGATTATTGGAGCGTGGTGTCGACACCGCTCCCGCCGGGCTCCTGGCGCGACGCTGACGATCGGCCTCCACCGGTCAAGACTAGCCTCAGCGAGACGATGCAGCATGCGAACCCATGGAGCAACAACGGACGTCCAGGCCTTCCTCCATCATACAATCGAGCTTACGGGTTCCAACTACCTGAGCGACCTGCACGCGATCCTGGTGACATCGCACCTCAGAACGACATCCTCAATAGCCCGGGCCACGCAGCGGTGAAAGCTGCAAAGGGATCTCTCTCGGATCTGTGGGCTCCGACCACGAACCTCTCCACCGTCAACTGCGGCGCCGAGACCGACGACGGCGTGCGCGGAAAGCAGCGACTGGGTCTCATCGTCGACCCAGGTGCGGCGAAGGGCCTCGGCGGCACGGACGCCGTTCGGGAGATCTGCGAACACTTCCTCTGGCCCAGGAATCAGGACATCAGCGTCAGGAACTCAGGCTCCAAGCTCTCGGGCATCGACGGCAATCCTAATGCTTCAGTCGGCCTGGGCACGATCCCTCTCAACTTGAAAGCAATGCCCGGGAGTGCCTTCACGATGGATCTACTTGGTGGATCTGGATCGAGATGCCCATGTCTGTTGCCCAGCGAGTCCATCATTGAACATGCCGGGTCAATGTGTGCGAACATTTTACCAGAGAAAGACGGCGTGCTGGTCATCAATCATCTGGGGGCCATGGGCAAGAAAGTGGCTCCCACCACCTCCCTTCGCATCCTGTGCGCCGACTCGGGGCGCTACCTCCTACCGATTGACGATCCCTCGGCAAACGCAGGCGAGGAAGCAGCAGCACTTCGCCAGGCAGTTAAGGACTACATGGAGTTCATCTTCGACACGCAGACCTCTTCCAGGACAAACGTCAACGCCGCATTGCAGTGCGACGCAGAGAACGAGTCATTTGCCGGACAGCGTCGAATCCTCACCGGGTGCTCCTCGAGCCCGCGTGAGATCACGTCGGCCACCTTAGCTGCTGGACAGCCTCGAACTCTCGCCGGGTGCTCCTCGAGCCCGCGTGAGATCGCGTCGGCCACTTTAGCTGCTGGACAGCCTCGAACTCTCGCCGGGTGCTCCTCGATCCCGAGCGAGAACAAGTCGGCAGCGTTATTTGCTGGACAGACTCGAATGACTCGAGAAGACATGACTCAGGATACTGGCAGAAGCAAGCAGTGCGAGATGACCGCGCAGACAGATGCGAACAAGCGGACCTTCAGCGGCAACGCTTCAGAAAGTAGAATGAGACTGAGAGACACGCGTACGGATGATAAGAGTGGAGGTCAGCAACAGCAGCAGATGCGCACACCTACACCTACACGGTTTTCGCCAACAAGAACATGCCAAGCTTTCTACCGGCGCTGGGCCTGTTTCGAGGATGGGCCCAAGTGGACAGGAAAGAATATATGGCCTCTCGATGCTGATGGTGACGATGTTCGGCTACTGGAGAAGAATTATCAGGCTCTTCCCGAGGAATTCTATCATCAGAGTCAGTTGCCCATAGTCACACCCATCCAGGCCATGAAGTGGATAGAACACATGCAGGACTTCAAGACTTACTTCCAGGAAAGAATGGCTGGAAGCGGACGTCTATCATCGAGGTGCTCGAAGCTGGTCCTACAGATAGCTTTCCCGATCGACTGCCGATACGGCTGGAAGTTGAACTTGGCTGATCCAGAACATCAGGTCCTACTCGCGGCGGCCAGGGAGACGCTAGGCATGGCAGTGACTTGGTGGACTCCTACCTGTTCGCCGTGGCCACAAGCTTCTCGAGGCGATGCTGAGAAGCGCGAGGCTGAACGCGAAGCTCAGCATCCTACTCTTGCCTGGTGCATCTCAGATATACAAGCTGGACAGCGACGCAATGAGCATGCGGTGGTCGAGAATCCTAACGCCAGCAATATCTTGGATAAGCCGGACCTCGCTTTACTATCTGGACTTGGCCTGCGGCAGCATGTTGGCGATCGTTGCCCATTCGGCGCAGTCAATGAAGACGGTGAGCCCATCCGCAAGAGAACCAAGTACCTGAGCACCTTTGGCATCAGGAGTGCAGCCAGACATTGCAGATGTAAGGTTCCACATGGACAGCTGGTTGGGCACAGCGGCGGAGTCCACAAGACAGCTCGCGCAGCAGTATATCCCAAGTTGCTGTGCGACGCCATTGGCAAAGACATCGCGAAAGCTGTTGGCAATACAGCTTCCACTTACCTTCAGAATGCCGACAACGATCTCCGCCTGGTTTTTTGGAGCTGCCCTCGGTGCAAACATGGGGCCAAAACAGAATTGCCTCACTCCCGTGTGCCAGGGCAATGCAAACTGTCCAGCACTAAGGTCCCTAAGCCTCCACCTGCACCAGCACCAGTTCCTCCGGCGCAGGCTGCGGACTCCGAGGGCGACCGACCTCCAGGGCCTGGACCTGCTGCTGCTGAACCTCCTCAGGCTGCGGATGTACCTGATGACGCACGCGATCCTGACGAGCCAGTAGTTCAGCCACTTCAGCTGGTGCCTCTGGAGGCCGATCTGGAAGGTGATGCAGACAAGACTCCAGCGGTAGAAGCTGCTGGCGGGTCAATTCCCGACATCAAGTTGCCAGTCGCTCCAGAAGAGCCCAATATAGCCAAGAAGGAATGGTACGAGGTGAAGCCGATTTTCTTTTTATCAAATCTGTTGAATCGGCTGAAGGCGGCAGCCGACAAGAAGGATCATAAAGAATGTATTCGCTGTCTCCTCGGACTTCATGTTCGTTTCTGGCATGCCTCAGTGCCCGATATGGCCATCTTACTCAGACAAGGCGAGTGCTGGAGTCCATGGATGGCACGAATGTTGGCTCTCATGCCCAAGGCGCGCAAGGACTGCAGAGACTACCTTCCGCCGGCTACGAAGCCACAGGTGGGCATCACGATGGCGGTCTACTTCAACCACCGGTTCCAGATGGACCTTTTCTTTCAGTGGGATGAGTGCTTCATACTGATCATCGACGAGTTTAGCAAGTACAAGGTAGCGGACATTCTCAAGGACCGCACCGCTCACGGAATATGGTCAACGGTGCTTCGAACATGGATCAGATATTTCGGCCCTCCGTCACGACTGATGATGATGTCGGAGTTGGCTTCGAGAATGTGTGACAAGTTTTATATCAGACGACAGTATGCAGGCACCGACGATCACACCATGACAGGCCTGGTCGAGCGATGGATGTCTCTGGTCAGGCTATGTTCACTTAAGCTCAAGGAGAGTTGCCAGTCTCAGGGCCTTCAGGTGACGAATGCGGATATTGTTCAAGAAGCGGCTATGGTTTCTAACTCTTTTGTTTCTTACGGAGGTCAGACAGCAAACCAAGTTGTGCTGGGCCTCACTCCGGAATTACTACAGATTGCTACGACATGGAAGCCACCGCGCTCGACTCAGTCACCCCTTCAGGCGACGGCTGCCCCGATCCGTTCGAGTCTGCACTGCGTCTCAGGACGCAGGCCAAGATCGCCATGGCCAAGAGTCTGGTGGAGGAACGTATCGCAAGATGCAACCGGACACGACAGCAGCAGACTCCTCCAGGGCAGCGACTTCAACCAGGTGAACCAGTTGATATTTACCGAGTACCAGAGCGAAAGGATCAGTCTGGATGGCGAGGACCAGCTGAACTGGTCAAGCTCACTCAGGGAACTAGCATCGCGGTGTGGAACGGCATTGCTTACATCCGACCTACACGACACATTCGGCGACATACTATACACATCGAGAAGTTGAAGATCGACGGCGACAACCTTTTCGTATACCTACTCAAGGGAGTCGAGGAGGTTTCAGATCTGGTCAAGCTCATGGACCTCGTTGACGGCACAGCCTATGGCCAGCTCACGAGGATTGGCAAAGTATTCGACGCCAGTACCATGACATGATCTCCTCCAGCTCCTCAGCTACGACTTGTCATGCACTGGACACTCTGCTTGAAGATCTGCCAGCAGGTCTTCCACCTCAAAAGTATTGACGGCATTGTGTATGGCACTTGGGTCAGACGAATACCAGGTCTCGATCGAATGCATCACGGACTATTAGTGACATGGTTTCGTCCACTCCACGCGCGCTACTTGGCGCACGAGGTACGGCCAGACAGGGGAACCAACATCGGCGACTACTCCAAGGACAGCTGGGACGATACTTCATGTTTCCTTATGTATGGTACGAGCTTCCGGTGAACCCCTACCTCGACGACTACGAGATTCCTGACATCAATGATCTAAGTCACATCGAGGCATGGCCTGAAAGTATGCGGGACATGGAGCAGGACATCCGGGACATGTCGAGCCTACTGCCTGGAGACGGTGACTGGGGATAATCTAGTCTCTCCTACTCGCCAGATGCTGGTGGCAGACTGGTCCCAACAAAGGATTCCTCGACGAATGCGCTGTCCATGTCCCAGGACTTCGATGCCGCGCGGACGGCGGCAACGCCATCAAGAATTACGGCGACGGAAAGAAGCAAGGACGATATCTCCTCATTTCCTGAAGGATCTCACCGAACTCCTCAACGGAGAGTCCTCACAGTTATAAGTTTCAAGACGCCGGAGTCCGTCAGGACGGACACTCCAGAAGAGGCAGCGCATAATCTGTCAGGACGACCGTTCTCTCAGGTGCTGAATCCAGCGGCGACCTCTCCGAGACCCGTGCCGATCTCAGTAGCAGCACCTCCAGTGCGGCCACGCTTACACAGGACTCTGGGGGCGCCAGCCTCCTCATCAGCAGCGCCATCAACAACGTCAACCTCAAATATCAATATGGGCACCTTCGAGCTCGACCTGACTAAGGCCATGAGTGACATAATGCCAGACATTCATGTTCCCCAGGCTCATCAACATCCAGAAGCAGCTCAGCAGCCTCAAGAGCTCGAACCGTCCAAGACTATGAGCGATGTGTCTCCTGAAGTACCAGCTCCTCAACCGGAACGGCCTCAGAAGTTGGATATGTCAAAGGAGCTGGGTGACCTGCTACCAAGTGTTCCTGTACCTGAGGCAGCGGCACCCGCAGAGCTGGATCTCTCTAGAGCTCTCAGTGAATTGCTGCCAGACATTCCAGCGCCATCGGAGTCTCCACAAGATGCAGCATCGCCAGAAGCACGACTGGCTCAGAAGAGAGAACATGGAGAACTCAGTCCTGGAATCTCTACATCTATGGAACAGCCAGCATCGCGGCCATATGCGGGATCCTCTCCAGTTCCAATGATTGAACGAGCAAACACATCACTAGCAATCATAGAAGCAGATCATGATCACGAACAGCATGAGCAGCAAGGAGTCAGCACAGAGGACTGGAATCAATTACAGGACTTGCCAACCGAAGATCCAGTACCCATCGAGTTACCACTGCAGGTTGACCTACCAGCAGCCAATACACTTCCAGATGATGGAGAAGATCTTTATGCCAGGCGCAACATCTCCAAGAGCTGCATGGACCTGCCAGCTGACGGTACGAGTTATCTTGCAGAAGTTCGCGAATCATACCTATCGGATCCCGTGACACACGTGATTGAACAGCAGCGTCAGGCTATCCAGTTTGCCGACCAGATAGGTGATCTGCAGAACGCTTCCGAGGCGAATCTTCCGTGGAATCGATCACAGTCAGCGTGGGTGATCTCAGGCCCATGGCCAAGGAGCCAATGCTTCCTGTTCGACCTCAAGACTGGCGAGGCCGTGATCTATGCGGCCCAGGCGGGCGGCAACCTCACCGAGCAAGAGGTTCACGAGAATTGGGATTTGGTCGAAGCATCAGATCGAGCAGAACTGACGGCGTTCGTGAACCATTCGGTTTTCCCATGTGCTGCGATCAAGAACCTGGACTCCAACAGTGTTACCGACGCTGTCTGGGCACGACGTTGGAAGCTCAACCAGAAGACGAAGTGCTGGGAGGTAAAAAGCCGACTCTGCGGTCGTGGTTTCTTGGACTCACAAAAGCATCAGATACAACGGCATTCCAGCACCGCCTCGAGGATCAGTCAAAAGCTTGTGGTGGGCATGGCACAGCGCCACACCTCGACTGACCTGGAGAGTTGGGACATTTCCACAGCCTTCCTCCAAGGCTTGTCTTTTGAGGAGTTGAGGAAGAGATCACGGGAACTTAAGCTGCCTTGTACTACCGTCAGGGAGGTCTATCTCAATCCACCGGCGAACGTATGGCGACATCTTGCAGCCATCGAGGGCAGACCCGTGATAGTGCAGCCTGTTGACTATGGTTTCGTCCTCTTGGAGCTTCTCAAGCCTATGTGCGGGCTGGTCGATGCACCGCGTCTGTGGCAGATCGCGCTGACGCTCTGCCCCGTCTTTCACCTCGAGGCACGAATAAGTTTGTGGGGCGACAAATTTGTCTACTGGACGGTGAAGGACCTGGGCACGTTACGACGACGGCGTCCTCACGCGGCACGAGAGTGTGGTGTTTCAGAGAGCATGCTAGTGGGAATGACGGAGAAGTTTGCGGCATGTCTCTCGATTCACGTGGACGATCTTCTTTCTCAGGCTCGTGCGCAGATATTGAATTTCCTTCGGGGCTTGTTAGAGAAGAAGTTTGGCGCGGTGAAGCGACAGAAGCTACCCTTCACACAGCGGAGCTCAGTGCAGCAGGTTGGCCAACGACGCCATAGTGACTCAGCAGTTTGACCATCTCAAGAACTTCAAGCCATGCGAAATCCCGAACTTGAAAGACGACAAGCTGGTCTCAGCTGAACATTCGCATGGCTTCAGGAGTATTATGACCAGCATGATGTTCTTGTGCCAACGCAGTGCACATATCCTGACAGAGGTTACTCAGTTGCAGGGTTTCAGCAAGGAGCCGAAGGTGATGCACCTGAAGCGAGCAAATACGGTCTTGAAGAAGGCCCAAAATGACATACAGTTACTTGGTCTCCACTTCCCTCATCTAGATGGATCCCACTGTCTCAGAGTGATTGGCGATGCAAATCATACAACTATGACGAGTGTGTATCCTCAGGAGGGCCGAGTGATTCTGTCGATGCAGGACAAGCCGATCATATTGCAGTCCAAGACGGACAGTTTGGAGATTAGTATGAACTTGGGTGGACTGTGTCACCCGATGGCTATTCTTCCCATCAAAGCGAAGAAAGTAGCTCACTCCACGAGTATGGGGGAGACAAATTGTGCTCTAAGTGTTGTGAGCAATGCTCAAATGATAGCTCTTCGTATCAAAGAGATGCAGACGGAACAAAGTTTATCTCAACAAGATCGGATCAAAGCCATGATGAATATCAATGAGACAGGTGCCTGCGAGCTGGCCGTGGACCACCTCGCGGACTGTAGAGACGTATTCGAATTAGTGACGGGTTTGAACGGAGCTCCTCAGGATAAGCAACAGGGTTACCAGTGATGGCACTACGGGAAGGACGCATTGCTACGCGAGTCAGGTGGACTATTCATGTACCTACGGAGATTATGGTGGCAGATGCTATGACAAAGCCAGGAGTTTTCAGACAGATGATGAGAATGCTAACGACCGGATATTTTGATATGACTTTGGTGGACAAAAAGGTGACCGCAAAACGTATCTCCCACAGACCGACTACGTATTCAGAAGGCGACCTGGAAAGCATCATCAAGTCTGACTACATGGAGAACAGCCAGAACGACAGCCAGGAGCACGACTCAGACATCGACCCGGAGAACGGCCGGGACGGCAACAACTACAACATCCAGAAGAACAGCTTCATGAACTGTGAGGCCTGCCGTCGTGGCCACTCTCTCTCTCTCTCTCCTCCTAGTTAGTTCTCTCTCTCTCTCTCTCGAGCTGGTGAAGGTGTTTCACACAGTTTTTTTACACACATGCGCGTTTTGGTGCAGACAACCTTTTAGAAAGTAGAATGAGACTGAGAATATTCGGTGTGCAGTAGCAGCAGTGTTTAGACAAGAGGTTTGATCATGTGTAGTATCTGTTCGACCAAAATACATCAGGGCTCAGGGTCTGTGCGCTTAGAAACGATGAAACATTTCAGTGGGGGGGAGGGGGGTCCCCCTGGCTTTGATCGACGCCGCCGAGTGTTGGGAGAACGCGCCGCCGAATGTTCCCAAGGCAAGCGCCCGTGAAACGCGCTCTCTCAGTGGTACGGAGAGACCGCGGGCAGGTGGAGAGTGGGGTCCCACGGTCATTTCAAAGGGTTTTCTTGCAGTGGAGCGGTGCCGACAAGTGCGCTGCTCTGCGTCTTTTAGGTTCACCGCGAGTCGCGACGGTGCCAGGTCACGCATCGCGAACTGAAGCTCGGTTGTGGCCCGGTCCTGGGGGCTGCCGTCGGATGGAATTTATTCCGCCTGCTGGTTCTGATCGGGTCATCATTGCGCGCGCTCACTCGTTCAATAACACGCTCACGCACTCATCTCGGGGAAGGCTCGGGCGGGGGCCTCGTTTGTGGGTGAGTTGCGAGGAAGCTTCAAGCAGGGGCCCCCTCCCTATGGCGCCTCATGTTTTTAATCCGAGGGGGTCGTGATCACAGCTGTAATTAACTGTTGTTACTGTTGCGGCCCCTCAGTCTTGCGTATGGCCGAGTTGCGAGGGAGTCTCTGGCGGTGGCACCTTTCCCATGGGGGCCGCAATTCATATTTTGAATCCGAGGGGTCCTTCTTCCTTTTGGCCAAGCAGAACGTTCGGCGCACCAGTAGTGCCGCAAGGGCCCCATGAAAATGGCGGTTGGACAAACCCTTCGCGCTGGTGCTGGCCACCTCGAAATTTCGGGAGTGTCGCTATCCTCGCTTGCCAGTTGTTAGGGGCCCGCCGCGTCATAGAAGGTCCTGAGCGCTGGCAACATCGAGTGGTGTTCAGGCTGGTCACTTTGTCGCCTTCGTCTGCCATCTTGATCGGTTCGGCATGTGTTGACACGGGCACAGGGGCCAGGGGGGACAGCCTCGACCTCGCCAAGGGTTTAAGGTTTAAGAGGAGGATGAGGACCAAGAGGGGGAGGAGGAGGAGGAGGAAAAGGAGGAGGAGGAGGAGGAGGAAGAGGAGGAGGAGGCGAAGCAGGAGGAGGAGGAGGAGGAGGAGGAGAGGAGGAGGAAAAAGGAGGAGGAGGAAAAGGGAGGAGGGGAGGGAGGAGGAGGGAGGAGGAGGAGGAGGAGGTGGCAGCAGCGTCGTCGTCGTCGTCGTCGTCGTCGTCGTCGTCGTCGTCGTCGTCGTCGTCGTCGTCGTCGTCGTCGTCGTCGTCTGGCGGAGCCGGCAGATCGCCTCGCTGGCGTGCAGCGCGCTGGAGGCCAAGGGGGCGCAGGCTGGGTGGCCTGCCGCCGCCCCCGCCTCCGATGCATCGACGATGGGGCTCGTTCAGGAACCCTGTTTTTTCCGTCCCGATGTCGTTGGTGCATAGGCGATGCATCGCCGATGCGGTGCGATCCTCTGGCCCAATATGCTCTGGCCGCATTTGGGAGGCCTCCATTGTTTACCAGCCTTCCTCGTGGTTGGGGTCTCGTTTCGAATAGAGCGTGTGGGCGACAAACCGACGGGTTTGTTTGCCCTGGCGTTGGCGCGTGAGCTGCCCGCGTAAGGCGCGCGTAAGCGCCCACGCGGCGTGCTGGGCTGGCTGGCGGCCCGCGTAAACCACCTCGTAGGGTCGCTATGTCGTCTTGCGTCGCTCACGTACTGTTGGTGCTCCTCCTTCATTCTCCCACTCCCACCTCCCCTCGTCTCCCTTCTCGTGTCCTTTGCTTCCTGGGTTTTTTTCTCGACGCCCGCATGGTTTGGCCCTCGTCTTGAGCAGAGCACCCGCTGCTCTCTCCTCCTGCGCATCTCCTTCCGTTCCTCTCCGCCCCGCGCGTCCCCTTGATCTTGTTGACTTTGTCTTTTGTGTGCTGCCATGCCGTGCACTTGTCGCAGCTTTTCGGATCTCCTGGGGGATCCAACGCAGTGGCGCGACTTTTCGGTCCGCGGCCGTGAGAGCATCAAACGCGGTAAAGCGGCGGCGGGACGCGCCAGAGGGAGGGCAGGAAAGGCACACTCAAACCGTGAAAACCGACGCGGGCTTACCGAGGAGAAAGTCCGAGCAGTGGCGCGACACGGGGATCCAGATTCTTGACGCTCCGCGTATCCCCACCAGCACCGTAGCCTGGCTCAAGCCCCCTTGGCTCAAGCCGTGTCGGCTCGAGGTTGGTCGGCGCGACCTGGGTCCGTTGCCTCCGGGGCCGGCCGGATGGAACCGCCCTCTGCACGGCGGCGCCGGCTGCGCCGCGCCGCCGCCGCCCGCGCCGCACTGGCGCCCCTCCCTGGCCGACCGCCCGCTCAGTGGGCCGCCGGCCCTGCGGCCGCTCGCGCTGGCCTGGCTGGCGCTCGCTCGCGCCGCCCGCCCCCCGGGCTAGCCGCCGCCGCCGCCGCCGCCGCCGCCGCCGGTGGCGCGGCCCTGGCGCCGCCGCGACATCACGCCCGGCCGCCGCTGCCGCGGGCCTGGGCGCTGCCGCTTGCGCCGCCCGCACCCGCGGCCGCTGGCGACGGCGCCGCCGCCGCGGCCGCCGCCGCGGGCCGCCGCGCGCCGCAGACGCGCGCGCCGCCGCCGCGGCCGCTGACGGCCGGCGGCCGCTTCCGCGGCCGCGGGCGGCCGCCCTGGCCGCTGGCCCCGCCGCCGCCGCTGCCGGCGCCGCTCCTGCCTCCTCGCCGGTGGGCGGCGGCGGAGGGCCCGGGGGCCTGCGCCGCCGCCGCCGCCCCTGCGGCCGCAGGCTCCGCGGCCGCCGCCGCGGCCGCCGCCGCCGCGGCCGCGGCGGAGGCCCGCCGCCGCCGCGGCCGCGGGCTGCGCGCCCGGTGCCCCCCGGCCTCCGCCGCCGTGGCCCGCGCGGCCGCGCGCGGGCCCGCCGCGGCTGGCGCCACCGCGGCCGCCCTCGGCGGCCCCCCGCGGCAGCGGCATCAGCAGCGGCAGCAGCAGCTACAGCAGCAGCAGCAGCAGCAGCAGCAGCAGCAGCAGCAGCAGCAGCAGCAGCAGCAGCAGCAACTGCAGCAGCCGCGGCAGCAGCAGCAGCCGCAGACCCCCCAAAACGTGTACAGCAGCAGCAGCAGCAGCAGCAGCTACAGTAACAGCGGCAGCAGCAGCAGCAACAGCACCCCGCAGCTGCAGCAGCAACAACACCCCCCTCAGCAGCCACAGGAACCGCCGCAGCGCCCACAACCACAGCCGCACCACCAGCAGCAGGTGCTGCAGCAGCAGCAACAGCAACCCCAACAGCAGCAGACCCACCCCGGGGACGAGAGACCCGCGAGACTTCAAATAACCCTCTCTGAAGACCAGAAAGAGGCACCCCTGCTCCCGGACAGCCTCCTGGGCACCTCCGGGAGCCAGCAGAACCCGCGAGAAGATTCAGAGGTACCTTTGCTCCCTCAGCAGCAGCAGGGCATAGAAAAGGAGAGGGAGGCCGCGGCGGAGTCGGCGGAGGCTGCGAAGGCCGCGGAGTATCGGGGGCCCGAAGCGGCGGAAGCATCTGAAGGTGCGGGAGAGGCACAAGCCTTCATCCGTGTCTCTTGATTAGAACCGGGTGGGCAGGGGCTGGCCTCCGAAAGTGCTGACTGTAGCCGCAACAGTCAGCTACGCGAGATCCCGGAACAGCAGGGGCTCGCCTGCCACGCCGTGCCCCCCCCGCCCCCCCCCTCAGAACAATCAGACCGTCAGCAGTCCCCCGGGAGCGCCACAGACCCAGCAGGGGGACCGCGGACCAACCGTCCAGACGCAGGACAGCGAAGCCATCCACCCTGAGGGCCATCAGTCCAGATTTTCTGGTTTCCGGTTTCTCAAGGATCTAGACAACTATGAACCCCAGAAAAGTGGTCTAGTAGGACAGGCGCATGTAGTCATATGATGTACATATGTATGTATATATGTATGCATGCATGTATGTTCGCATGGTAATTATAGGTGTAAGTGCATATATATATATATACACATATGTACATGTATACACATGTATATAGGTAGGTGTCTACATATATATAAATATATATGTGTGTGTATTTTTTTTTATATATATATATATATATATATATATGCTTATCACACGCATGTATACACATGTGACGCAGATGCCTAATGCTTCTCCGCGGGGCGCGGCGGGTTGTTAGCGATTTGTTGTTTGGGCGCGGCCGTGCGATCGTTGCAGACCTACGTTTGGAGTGTCATATACTCGGCGCCGTGGCAAATCGGGCACTTAGCCTTTACCGCCCATGGGCGGTAAAGGCTAAGTGAAGTGCCCGGGCGGTTTCCACGGGCGCCCCTCCTCCTGCCTCCCCCTCATCTTCCTCCTTCTCCTTCTCTTCCTCCTCCCTTTCCTACCCCCTCTCGTGCTTCTGCTGCTCGTGCTCCTCCTCCCCCTCCTGCTGCTGCTGCTGGTGCTCCCTCTCCCCCACCCCCCCCCCCACCCTTCCCCCCCCTCGCCCCCCTCGCCCCCGATCCGAAGCTGGAATGGCCAAGGGGGGGGGGGGGGGGGGGGGGGGCGAGGGGGCCGACGGAGAAGGCAGGGGGTGAAAGCGGGAGATGCCCCCCCTCAGCTGAGTCGGGAACGGGACCTTGCGAATCGGGGCCTCGTCTACTTCGCACTCGACCTCATCGTCGGCGAAGGCCCACGTGGCAAATTTCGATTGAGAAGGGTGCGAAGCCCCCAGAGCAGGGCGAGGAGGAGGGGGGAGGAGGGGGAGGAGGAGGAGGAGGAGGGGGAGGAGGAGGAGGAGGAGGAGGAGGAGGAGGAGGAGGAGGAGGAGGAGGGGGGAACTAGAGGAGGAGGAAGGAAGGTCGTGGGTTTCGGCCATCTAGCACACCTGGCTTGCATGCTGCGCTTCGGACCGATCTTCTGGCATGGCCAAGCACGAACGTCGGCCGACGCGCGTTCCCTCCAGGACTTCGGGGAAAGAGCTGAGGGGATGGGCGAGAGCGCAGAAGGGGGCGAGGTGAAGGAGATGGAGGCGAAGGAGTTGGAGGTGAGGAGGGGGCAAGAAGGAGACAGGAGGACGCGAGGTGAAGGAGTTGGAGGTGGAGGAGCTGGGGACTAAGGAGGGGGGCAACAAGGGGGCAGGAGAGCGCGAGCGTCGGCCGTTCGGGCGTCGAAGCCCCGAGGGCGCCTGGAGCGCCTCGGCGGGGCTGGCCCCGCGCAGGCCTGCTGCTGACCACAGACAGCTTCGGTCGGCGGCCCCGGGGGGTGACAGACAGAGAGCAAGAGGGGGGGGGGGGGGGGGGTGGGGGGGTGGGGGGGGGGGGGGGGGGGGGGGGGCGCGCATGTTTTGATGCGCCACGCCATGGCCAAGGAGGAACATGAAGAGGTGGGGGGGCTAAAAGAAGGCGGAGCAGCGAGGTTCCTGGGCGTTCTTGGGGCCGCCTTGCGGCTCCCTTGGCCCCTGTTGGGGCTCTCTTGGGCCATCTGGGAGAAATATTAACGCCTCCAATGGGCGTCGGAAGCGAACATGCGAGAGCGCCAATAGCGCATTTAGGCTTCTTGGGGGCATCATTTGGGGGCCATCTTGGCCACCTGGAGCCGCGTTGGGGCGGTCGTGCGGTTTATTGGAGCATAGTTGGAGCCATGCTGTGGCATCTCGCACTATATTGTGCCATCTTCAAGGCCATCATGGGCCCCCTCCTTCCCCCCCCGCCCTCTCATTTTCCTTCCCTCCTCCACCCTGCGGACGTCTTGGGAATGCGCGTGAGATGCAAGCCCGCAGACTCCCCCATCATCTGCGAAACCCTAGCCAATGTTGGCACCATGCAAGCTGAATCGCATAAAATCTGGAGCCTGCTTGACCCCGCCCCCGCAGCACGGCGCTAGCGAAAGCGCGGCCTGCTGTCAGGCCGCGGGACATGCGAGCCGCGAAGCGGTTAGATGCGGGCCCTCAGGAGATGATGATGCCGGCGATGGCGGTACCTTTCTGCCGCTGCGCTGGCCGCACGCTCTTCCCGCCGGCGCCCCGCGGGGCGCCGGGCGGGCCCTTCCTTCCGCCGCGCGAAGCGGGCCGCGCCGCCGGCGCCGTTAGACACCGGGGCAAAGCCCAGAGTGGGCGGGCAAAAGAGGGGCCCAGGGGGCCCTGGGAGGGCTTTGAGCCCCGAAGGATTGAGCGGGAGGGAAAGGGGGGGGAGAGCAGCAGAGGCAGGGGCAGGGAGAGAGAGGAAACCCAAGCCGACTGGGGAGGCGGGGTCCAACCGCCCAGGTCAAACAACTAAGACCCCGCCCCCGCAGTGCGGCGCTAGCGAAAGCGCGGCCTGCTGTCAGGCCGCGGGACATGCGAGCCGCGAAGCGGTTAGACGCGGGCCCTCAG